GGAGTGGGTGCGGTGCTGGGAGTATTTCTACACAGAGCACTCTGGGAAAGTTTCATCAGTTAGACTTTGAAAGGTGGCTCTGTTTTGAACATTCAGAGACAGGTGGGAAAAGAGAAGATACTTTCAGGCAAAAAGAGAAGTGTGAACAATGTGAACAATGTGTGAACAATGGTACTAAAGCAAGGGTGAGCCCCGCACAGCTAAGGTTCAGTTTGGTGAGAGAAGCAAGGGTGCAAAGAAAAGAGGAAGGAAGGAGACAAGGTTGGCCTAAGAGCTGACAGTGCAAACTCAGGGCCAAGTAAAGGACTTTGGATGTTATTCATTAAGAAAGGGATGGGGCACCTGGGTGGCTCAGTGGGTTAAGTGTCCAACTTTGGCTCAGGTCATGATCTCGCTGTTCCTGAGTTCCAGCCCCTTGTCGGGCTCTCTGTTGACAGCTCGGAGCCTGGAGTCTGCTTTGGATTCTGTGTCTCCCTCTCTCTCTGTCCCTCTCCTGTTTATGCTCTCTCTCTCTCTCTTTCAAAAATAAGTAAACATTAAAAAAGAAAAGGAGAACTACTGACATTTCTGCTGAGGTATACAGGGGTAGAATTTGGCAACTAACCAGATGTTGCGAGTGGGGCAGTGTGGAGGGAGAGAAGTGAGTCCAGGGTAAGCTGGTAAGTCTGAGTACCCATTACAAATTCAGGATCTCATCAACATGTCACTCATTTGAAGTGCAACACAATTCAACTCAAGTATAATTAAGCAGTTAGGACCATGGCTTGTATTTTTAAATGCACTTATGCTATTGCTATGATGGATGAGAACATGTTGTACTGCTTACATTTTAGGAGACTAGGATTCAAGAAAATAGACGATACAGAACTGAAACAAGAAAAATAAGAGATTCGGAGCTTGTCCCTAAAGATGATATAAAGCTGTGGCCTGTAATCTGTAAACAACTCTACAGTGAAGACAACAATGAAGGAAGAGTCACAGTACTCTTTTGATGGGTTATCACTGACAACAATTTTTCCTTGTCACTAGAGCTGGTATCTTAAAAGTTATTTTAAAAAATTTAAAGAATATTGTAATGTAAAAATGAAATAATTTTTGTCTAAATAAAAAGAACATTGCAAATACTTAAGAAGCCTCTGGTAATGGGGAGAAAGGGGGAGGGTGGGCAGGGGGAGGCTGAAGCTATACCACTATCTTATGTAAATATCATGGACACAGCCACAATGAAGTAAAAAATTAAATAGAAGAGTAACCTGACAAATATTATTATGAAATTTAAATAATTTAAGAGAGTAATATGGTTGACATATGAACCAGAATAACAAATCACTTACAAATTATGGTTTTATACACCCATTTTTTTTCCATTGCATCAATTGTTAGTGACTCTATGCTAGGTTAAAATTTTTCAAAAAAGAGAGAGAAAAAGGCAATTATTAAATACCTCTTTAAGTGCCTCTCTATCTGTATCTGGAAATTTGCCTTCTGGTATGTCTCTTTTCTCATTTAATATTTCAAGTTTATTTATTTGCAGAAAAAATCTGGTCACTCCTAAACTAACAGTTTATAAACACAGTACACCACAATATAAATGCATAGTTACTCGACTTTAGTCATAATAACAGGAAGTCCTTAATCAGATATAACTAGTTTATTGAACAGTCTCAAATCCATAGGGTGCAAATAAGAAATAGTGTTATTTTTCTCCTATGCTGCCCCCAGCTGGGCTGTTTTGAATCTCCTTTCCCTGCTGGGTAGTGATCCTTTAATGATACCCTGGACAGATTCTGTAACTTCCTTGGTCACTTCCTGAGATTAAAAAACTCAGTCAACTCCACAAGAAACAGACTCTTAACAATAGAGAACAAACCGATAGTTACAAGAAGGGAGGTGGATGAGAGGATGAGTGAAATAGGTGACCGGGATTAAAGACGGCACTTGTGATGAGCACCGAGAATTGCACGGAAGTGCTGAATCACTTAACTGTATACCTGAAACGAATATTATACTGTATGTTAAGTAACTGGAATAAAAAAAAAAGAACCTCAGTCAAGTCCAGTGGAAGATGCCAACCTCATACCCAAAGCAAAGATCCCCCTCCCCCACTGCTGGCTGGGCTGGTGGCTGGAAGGACCTGAAATGGGAAATGGGCATCTTTCTGCTCTTCCTCTCTTCCTCCCCTTCCTCATCTCAGAGGTAAGGTGGTAAGAGGCAAAATGATAGCCCTCTGGAAAACAATCTCCCCTCCCATCTTCTGTCTAGGGTGTCTGAATGGGCAAAGGAGGGATGGGGGCAGGGCATCAAGGGTAGCCATTTTGTCCTCTCTATATGTTACTGCTTCCATAAGTGAGTTCTTCAGGAAACCCTATAGGGACCTTCACTTGCCCAGGTCACTGACTTTAGAGTCCTGGATGCTACTTGATCTCCTCCAACTACTGTTATCTCACCTGTACTCCCCACAGCTTCTGATTGCCAGAAAGAAAGGCTAGAGCCAGCTACCTTCTCAGTGTCCACTTGATCCACAGAAAACGCAGCCATCCTCGTATGCCAAGGGCAAGGCTGCATGCTAGCCCTCGACTGCTCCACTGCTGTCCCTGTTTGTCTCCAACCCTCTCTGCCCTGCTTAGGAGGGGCAGGGGCCGATCAGTAAGTCTACTGCCTAGGCAAACAGCCAGTCAGAAGCAAACCGCTAGTGTCCGCTTCATGACCTTGCTCTCTATGAGGGATTTTCCAGGAGCCTCTCTTGCTTGGCTTCAGGGTGAGAAGCAGCTACAGCAGGCCTCCTTCAGGCCAGCCTCTCATACACAGCTGGGTGGGGCAGGGGCCAACACAGGGGCCAACACAGGGGCTGATATGGCTCCACCACCTCTTTGCAAGCCCTTGAGGGGTGTCTGCCCCCCCATCCACATTTTTCATTATAATGTTAGGTATTTTGGCACACCTTTGTACATCCAAGTTTGGCCCCTAGTTACCAATTCTGAGCAACAGAGAAAATATCATGCAACATCCTGATACACTACTAAGGAAATAACAAAAGGCCATTTTATCCTTGATACTATATGACATAGGGAAATTTCTTATTGTATAACATGGGTTCTTTACCTAAACCCTTGACATATATGGAAAGTGTTAGGTAAATAACCAGCCATCAGCTGTCCCCTTACCTACTTGGCTTACTCTGTCTTAGCCCCTCACCACTCACCAGCCCCTTTGCCAGCTTCCACAAGAAACCATTCATGTAAGGGACTGTGTCATTTTGCTAAGGATTTGTGGGGTCTTGAGGTCGGGATCACATTGCAGAGCATTTCACTAAAACAGTCTCAATTAGACAAGTCTCTTCTCCCAAGTGTCTCTTTAACGGGACCACTAGTAAGTTCCTTTCCTCTTCTGATCTCTTTTCCTCACCCCAGGGTAGCCTCATGGGTGGGTAACACACAGACACACAGGGCCCTCACTTGGTTAAATGCTCTGTTGGTGCCTATTTGAAATTCATAATAATTTTCAACAAGGAGCCTATATTTTTATTTTGCACTGGGCCCCTCAAATTATGTATCATGCCCTGCTCCCCCAGACTTGGCCCTTCTGTCTCTTCTTCCCACACTCCAAGTATTCAATCCCTCCCCATGTTATAAATCAGAGGAGTTCCCACTTCCCCCTTAAGACCCAAGGGCCAGTCTGCCACATGGGCTGGGGGGGGGGGGGGGGGGGGCGGGGAGTAGGGTCTGCTTATGTCCTACGGTGGGTATCAATATAATGGCACAACTTGTGAGATGTGGTCAAAATGCAAATTTATTTTTGCATCCCATACCTGTGCTAAAAATGTAAGGGACAGGGAAGAGGACATACAGCAATTTCTCCCTGGCCCTGGAGGGAACTTAGACAGATGCCATGAACTTCACAGCTCTTGAGTGATGTCAGACCCCTGGCCTCTCTAAGTCAAAAAGGCAATCAATTCCATTGTAATCAGCATTTCAGTCTGTGTTTGGCCATCCATCCATTCATTCTCCACTGTTCCCGTGTGAGGCCCGAGGTCAGAATTATACTCAACTTCTGCTTTTCTTCCAGCCTCACCTGCTTCCTTACTCCCTGGCTGCTTTGTTGGATTGGACTGAGGTGGAAGACCAGATGAGAAGCAAAAGGATGAGACAGTTCTTACTGGGATGGATGGATTCACGTCTGTGACCCATTGCTGGCCCTCTTCCTCCAACTTCTGTTCCCGTGATGTATTTCAATCCCCAAGCTGGCCTCAGCTCTTGTCCTAGGACACAGGCACCCACTCTAACACACGCCCATTTCTCCTCTGAGGATCCTCCTCAGTAGAGCTCAAAATGGCTCTCTCAAACTCTCTTTACCAAAGTCTGGTCACACACAGCTCACCCTCCATGCTGGAAGCCCTCCAACATGCCTCTCCCCAGAAGCTTTAGCTTTTTGGCCTAGAGTTGAGGACCAGTCCTTTGTTTCTCTCAACTACATGGAACACATTTCTCCATCATATGGAAGCCACCCCTCACCCCCACCATTGAAGAGTAAGAAACAGTAATCTCTGACACCCGGGCATGGGTAGGGGGCATTAACAATGAGGTAACAAAGCTCTCTAAAGAAATCTCTTCATAAACCCAAATCCTATCCCTTTATAGTCTCTAAGTAGGTAAGGGAATTGAAAACTAGTAGAACCTCTTTCCAGCCACTTCCTTCAGAGTCTGCAAATGGTGCTCTTGCTTTGGAATTTTATGTCTGCTAGATTTTGGTGTTTGGTTAAAACTTCATTTTTGACACCCTTTGCAAAAATGATGAATCAATCTCTCCTTATGAAGAATGCTTACAGGTCCTAAAAATGATACTTTCTCTGAATCATTACACATATATGTACATTTTTCTGAAGAAGAGTTCAGAGCTCTTGGATAAACTCTCAGTGGTTTTTGTGATTCCCCATAAAGTTTAAGAATCACTTCAATGGAAGATTCTTATTTCTAGAATTACTTGAAATTAATATCTAATTCGGTTTATAAGTGAATGTTGTTATCTGGTCATTTAAGTGCCAAGAACATAATGCCAAACCAATCAGAATCACCCAAGTGGTTTAACCTGATCTTTCTCCAAATTCTGACTTTTTACAGTAGCATAAACTGGAAGTGACATGGTAATTATGCTCTCCTCCTCAATGTGTTTTCCTAGGCACAACCCCAAAACATCCCCCGTTCTATACCCCTCCTCCTCTCTTCCAACACTTCCCTTCTTTCCCAAGGATATACTATTTGGATTGGTCCTAACCTAAACCTCAGCCAGCCTGTAACAGAAAGTAAAGTATAAGAGCTTCAGAGGAAAGTTGGGGTTGACAAAGTCAACGATTTTCATGGAAGGCAACTTCCATGCGATCTGAGGTCCACATTTCATACATCATACTATGACAATGACCTTGAGAAATACAAAAAGGAAAAAAAAAAGTACTGACTCTGGGACCAATTTCTCAGGGAGAAAAATGAAAGGTCAGTGTTCACCTAAGTGTGACCGACAAAATGAAATAGGCAAGAAAGGTGAGAGCACTGGCCTCCACTTACTTCATGTGTGTTTTTTTCTTTTTTTATCCTAAAGCTCCTCCTGCAGACATTATGTGACACTCTTCCTTTGAAACTTACCCTATTATTTAATGAACATACCAAACTACATGTTATTCCTAGAAACACTTTCACCTTTTCTGTACCTCTCCCCAGCATAATAATAATGACAATGTATTGTTACGGTAACTATGTCTGTTTTAACATTTAATGCTGTTTTAACTATTTCTGTGATGCTCATTTAAAAAAATTTTTTTAATGTTTATTTTTAAGAGAGAGAGACAGAGAGACAGAGCATGAGTAGGAGAGGGGCAGAGAGAGACGGAGACA